CGACCTACCCACACGTGTAGTTGGGTATTATTATAAGTTCTTAATTCATTGAAAACAACCAGCCGGCCATCAGCTTGTTCAATCGTTATTTCCAACACTATATTGATGAGATCCTCGATTGTTAACATATTATATATATACTTATATATTTGTGACAAATATTGTCATATTATCTTGTAAGAATTATATAGGTACTATATTATATTTGAAACATTTAATATTTTTTCTAAATTTGTTTATTATATATAATTTATATATGTATGATAGGAAGTTTAAATTAGTTAATATAAATTATTAGTTTTTCAATAAAAAAAATTAAAAATCACAAAAGCACTTTTTACACATTTTGGTGCTGTTGGTTTGGATATTTTTCTCATATTTTTCATTAATACTGACGTAGTATAATATGATTGTAGTAATATATCAAATCAATAATTCAGGAAGTACACTTTGTAGTCTTCGAAAATGAACTAAGTGCTGTGGTACTATAATACGACTATAGACAGTATGAAGTACTGTAAAATTGTACAACTTGGGACAGTTTTCAACTTTAAACTGGCATAACTTCTAAACTAAGATAGCTACACTTTTGATTTTGGTGTCAAAAGTTTACTCTTAGATTAATAATTATTAACACCTTTATAGTTTTTAATATATACGTTTTACTTAAGCATATTTTTATTTTTTTATTTTTGTCCCGAATTCAACGCAGAGTGTTAAAACTTGGACCAGTCTATTAAGAATGCTTAAAAATCATGTTTTCAATGCCAATCACAACTTTAGGAATATAAAATTATTATGTATTAAACATACAACATTTTAATTTTAACAATGTATTTGTATATTTATAGAAAAAAAAAATTAAAAATATTTTTTTTTACATAAGTAAATAAAAAATGTGTACTATATGTTAATAAAATAAAATAAACATCAGTCTTTCCTTAAGGATAAAAATATATAAAAAATATATATAAATAAAAAATTATGTCTATGTCTACATCAACTACAACGTTTAAAATTGAATCAAATTGAATTTCGGTTTATAAACTTTAAACTACACGTATTTATCCATGAAAAATAAAGAATACAAATTTGTGATTTGAAGCATGGTTAATGACTTACCAGTTACCGATAAAGTTTTTGAGGACTGTTTACTTTATAGAAATAGGGAAAACCGTGGAGACGGTTCTCCGTCGTTATTATTTGTATTTTGGGCTGTATTATTACATTGAGTCCATAGATAATTTTGTGTAGATAATGATAAAAAAAAATTGATTATCTCAAATACCGTGCAGCCACGGTGAAATTTTTTAACTTAAAATGAATTTTCCCAAGTAGTACCATTTGACGTTACCTATTTACAGTATAATAAAATATAAATAACAATTAATAATAAATGTGTTTTCTCGTTGGTTCCAAATCGTATTCCTATATATTATAATTATATACATCGTTATTAGGAAATCATAATTATTGTGTGCTTTTAGGAAAACAACATTACCCCTCGAGGGTTAACGTGCCCGATAGTTAGTTTTCATTATTATTGTCATTTAACACGTCATGCAAGCCAGCTGCTGAAGATTTATCATCAATAATACTAATGAATAATAGTTAATATGCACTATACACACTATACGTATATACCTTGGTAATGCAAGGGGATCATTTTAAAAGGAAATATTTAGTTCAACTTAGTCTGAACCTGGTTAGAAATATCTTTTTATACAATTTGAAGTCAGTACAAGATAACATTTTTGATAAATAAAACTTTTCTGAATTGTTAATTCTAGAAGTTTGATTGATGTCTACCTGATGCCATAAGTTGCGACTTTCGGTTTAAGCAAAATGCTTGTATAGAAGTTTAAACAAATCAGAGACCCCAGAGTTCACGACTATTTAATTAATTCTTCTTTATTGGTTACTTTCAGTTTTGTAGATTTAATTGAATAAAATTATGTAGTACCTTGGTAAATCATAATGATATTCTGAGTAAAAAATTTTTCACATTAAAATATTTTAAATATTTATAGTTAAATCTGGTGAAATGTTAAAAACGTAGGTACTGTACATTATAATATCTCTTTCAACAAACACTATATATAGACGTCGTAGCTTTGTTCATTGAATTGTAATGACTTAAAAATACCATACATCTTAAATTTCTAATGCCGTAAAATTCCTCGATTGGTTTTCATTAATAAATTTAAATAATAATATTACATATACTAGACAATATAATCCCCATTAAACAGACTACAGGTATTATATATTATATCTTTGATTCGATTCATTTCAATCTTTACTATTCGGTCCTATGTTACTTATGCATTATTATATTTTATATTTTAAACTCTTCTCATCTCACCGCTGCTATCTTGATATTAATTATTTGTTCATACGGTCAGGTTTTTTCGTTTACCCTGTATAGGGATTTACACCATTAATGTATATTATCATTATTTATTAGTTTATTACTATTTTATTTCCGGGCATATAGTACCGTACCGCCGAATCCTAAATAAAATCTGACACTGAATTTTAGTGGCAACGAATTTTTGTTGGACTTGTCCATCTGTGAAATCCGATAAGTTCTGATACGTACACGCTTAACATGTTTAATTTTCAATACAGTTTTGTTGTTTTAAGTATATTTTGGTGAATTTACCTATGGTAAATAGGTATTATCATATTTAAATTTTAGACAGAGCCTTCATACGTGATCATTCGTCGGTTTAATTCAACAATTAATAACAATTTCAAAACACTAGCTTTATCGAGAAAAAAACCCACAAGGAAGAATCACTGATATTATTATTTTCTTTTACCTACTTTGATATGAGATGATCCAGCAAATATTTAAAACAACAAAACGGTTTTGGAAACGCGGAAACAGCCAAAACGCGCATGGCGACGTTTAGCAAGGCGTTTATGTGGTTATTATTGCGCGTATTGTGCGACGTAACTTAACGCGGCGGTGCTTATGGGTTTCCTCTTTAGGAAAATTGGCACATAGAATATTATATTATTGTATATATAATATGACTTACTTATTGTTATTATAAATCGTAAAATCGATCGTGCCAACAGATATAAAACGAATTAACCGACGGCGTGGTTTTGTCGTTTTATAGTGTGCACTCTTAGAGACTGGTACATAATATAATATAGGTACTTACTATAAATACCGGAATAATACTTTCTCGCGGTTACTGCAAGGGCGGCGGTGACCGAGCGGATATAGTCAACGGGGGCAAATGTGATATTATAAGTCCGTGTCGCTGGTCATTATGCGCAATACGACGTGTATTATATGGATGGGTACCGAGAAGTCTGCCCAGACGCGTGTCTCGAGTGTTTCCTATGAATCATATATTATATTATTTACGATTGAATTACACCGTTAAACCCTCCCCGCGGTGTTTCAAAAGGAAATATTACTGCGACCCGCTATACGTAGCCTGCAGTTAAAACAAATTAATATTTCTGATTTCTTCGCAGACGAAAGTGTCGACGCCGACGATTGTAATAAATAATTTCCCACGAGTCGAAATTTACAACGAATTATAACAATGTTTCATGTCGATTGTACAATATAAAAATGTACAGATATTTAACGGTCGTTTAGTTGGCAAATACCGACGAGACCCCTTTCCTAATATGTGTACTGGGGCCCACCTAAACTATATTAATTTTTATTTTTTTACCACAAATAATAAATACATTTCATGTTGCAGTCTGCAATATCATTTACCGTTGTTGGGTTAATAAAAACAACAATTTCGAAAGTACCTTTGTTACTGATACATTTTGTACGACTTTATTTGAACCCTTAAATCCGCTACTGGTTGCGTGGTACACATTGCGACCGTGTAGGTATTTAATGGTATATTATGATACAATAATAGGTATCTATTCGATTTCCGAACGGTACTCTGAAGTAGTACTATAGTCTACCACATTGTTTCAGTATTTTTAAACACATAATGTTTTTATCCTCATAGAATTTGCACGAATATGATATTCTCGCGTGCACTGTGAGTAAATCGTGAGGCGCAACAAAAATTTCACTTGACTACGTCAAACAATACCTATTCCGCCCTCGGAGCATAAAACCCGTAATCACAATGTAATATATTGTACAATACGCGTATGGCGTTATCGCGGCTTCTCGTTGTTAAAACTACTCGTTCGATGAAATATAATGAAAATCCGATTGGCTACGGATTTTTTTGTTTTTCTAAAGAAACGGATTATAATACCAATAAAAAAAACCAAGTTCAAATCTGCATTGTCCGAAATGTGCGGACCGTGGTATAGTAGTGTTCAACGTCGAATCGAAGGTCGACGCGGTAGTGAAATATTGTACGTATTATACCCGTGATATAATATCGTCCGATTTAAGCACGTTTTATCCTTCCCACCCCAGATATTGTTCAAATCAAAGATACGATTTCGAAATTCCGGACGATTATTTAAATAACTGCGAGGACTATAGCAGATATTATTATTATCTTACGTAATGCCTACGTGCACGCTCCTTCTCTTTGCGAGGACGTGGACTGCAGTTGAGAATGAATATAATAATATTATTATGTAGGTAGGTTAGGTTAAGTACCTATAGTCCTATATATTAAAATACATAATTTTATTAATCATAAATATCGTGAAATATCGGTATTTATTTAACCTGCATTCCTGTGTTATTACACCGAACGGTGCAGTGTCCTACTTGAGAAAATTTTCTTCGGTTTACCAAATACGAACATAAATCTATATACCTATATAATGTTATAGTATATAATATATATTATATATTATATATTATATATGTATAGCATAATGACAAACATAATTTGCCACGAAAGTCATTATTTATTTTTTATTTCAACAATTTCTGAGAATCGTACACTTGATTGGTGTCCAAATAATAACGTACCTACATTAACTATACCCACTAAAATTGTACTCGAATGATAATTCGCTTGGCTCCGACCGTTGTCATGTATTTGCCACCTGCTATTGCCAAGGTTTATAATCTTATTCGCCCTATTTGTGCACGTTTGAAAACTTTCATTAACTTTTTCATTGCTCCGCATATTTCCTTACTAAGTACTTAGGACCTACAATTGCTTGAATTTAAGGAAACGTGTGATAGGTATCCCGCCCAACGGCTGTGTAGTATTTTTCGTGCTCGTTTTATATACATTTTACAAAGCATAAAATACGCACAACTCGAAAAATCTATAAGTTTCCTTATAATCGTCACTCGTTATTTGATATTTTTAATCTTATATGCATATTATATTATAATATCGTCTAAAAATAGTAGGCGGCTAATTTATCCTATAACGTCGAGGACGACAAAACCGTATCGATTCCCTTATAATAATTTACCAATAGCGAATATATTGTAGTACATATATATTTATCCGTAATATTTTGTTATGCGGACGGGATACGACGAATTCGGGTTGCATCCAGGTTTTTGTACGAATTAAAATTTTTTCCACTCCAAGTTTCTTTTGCTAATTTCAAACTCATATTTAGGTACGCGTAAAACAAATATAACAGGGCAGAATTGAAAATATACGTATAAAGTATACATTTTAACTAGATATTTTTTTTAGGGGTTTTCGAAACGAATCAAACATGCAAACAATATAGCGTACAGAACTCTCAGGGAATAAAATATAACCGAAACTACCTGCGACGCGTACGTGTGTAAATTACCGAATTGGAGTTCGATATTACAATTCGGTCGTTGTTCGTTACATAAGTTTACCTGCTGTACGAAATTATAAAAAACAATGAATGAATATTACGTGTACAATAATATAATATACACAATATACGCACACGTCACACACACACACACACACACATTATGTATACGCTATAATGTGTGTTATGCCGTTCGGTGTTCATTGATGCGCTAGTTAATTAGTAGACATCACATAATGTTAATTAAAAGAGGTGAAACGCGCCGAGTTCCAACCCGTTGATTATTGTAACCACACGATATTAATGATTATATTGGCGCGTACGTTATATTATTCGCAACGGTATATAATACTACCTATGTGTGTTTCGTAACAATACGGAATCGTACATGACGTATATTGTATAGGTCTAAGATAATGTATATTTTATTATAAAGGGTGATTATTTAATTTTGTCGCGGTTTGGAACTCGTACAAAACTATAAGAATTATTTAAAAATGTAGAACAGTGTGTCTTCGTTTAAAGTGGATACGTTTTTGTAAAATCGTATAGGTTAGGTTCTCGAATAAGTCATTGATGGTTCGCGATCCAAAAAAAAACTCCAGCAATGTATAGCGTAGGATACCGTTAAAAGATATAGATTTTGATTTTGTGCACGATAGTAATTTCATGTTCATCTCATAACATTATACTTTCTTTAAACTTTTTAGCTCCACAAATATAATGTGTTGTTCGAACAGTTTTATAATCAAATCGTACCGGAGAGTTCTACAAGTAATTATCATAATATATGAAATTAGTTTTTTCTATATTTATCTCATATTAGCAGCATTACAATCTTAACGAGTTTAATTATTATATACTATAAAAAATAACAACGTTTTAATTGCAAGCGGGATATCTATGTAAACAAGGTATATAATTATTGCGAAAGAAAATACATATTACGTTTCTAAATATTGTAAACTTCATGTCTCGACGCAACCATAATATTATTATTATGACTGACGCTGCGTTTTATTATAACATTGAACGCAGACAATAATAATATTGTTGCGGTGAGATATTATTATTATGAATCAATACGACTGTTATTTTTATATCGGTTAGGTTAGGTACCTATTGAAATAAATCAATTATATTATTCGTTCTAAGATCTGTACATAAATTACATGGGCGTTCTTAACTATCGCAACGGTAATGTCCTCTTACAACTCTCGGTGATGTCAACTATGAAATAACGAGTATAGGTAGGTATAACAAACCGCTAATATTGTGTTCGGTGGCAACGTCGTAATGGATTTGCGCTTGGTATAATATAGATACGACAAACTTTTTTAAAAATAACGACCCAAACCCGTAATAATATCGATAGAAACCCACAATGAATAATCGTTAAATGATCGGGTGACGTATAGTTGTAGTGTGACGATAGCTCGTAAAACGACGGGTTAATCGTTTGGCGGCGTATAGGGTGGACGAACAACCATCCTATCCCCGGGGTGACGGAAAGCCATAAAAATAATATTAATATTGTTTTCGTTTCTGTTTCGTGTGCAGGTGCTACCTACGACAGCGACTGCAGGACGACGATAGCCTGCGGCATCAGTGGTTCGGAACCTTTGGCTAGTTCAGCTTTTTGCACGAAACCCGAAGACGAGATGGAAAAATTGTCGCACAGGAGCAGCTCTTCACTGGGCGTGGTGAGTGTTTTTTTTTTAAATTATTATTCGTAAAATAAAGGTTTGGGGGCACTGAAAGTTAGTAATGGACTGATGGACCGTATCTATATTTTTGTACAATTTACGTTACCTACTGCTTACTGTATGTGTTTTTGACGACTCTGGTGAATCTGATCACCGCTGTGGTATATATAGGTACAGTTAGTGTTGATAAGTGGGTATGTATTTGAGTACCTTAGGTATTTAAATACTTTTTAAAATTATTATTTTTAAAGTATCCTATAAACTATAAAGTATATAATATATTTTATCCATTAAAATGGACTATGTACAAGTTAATAAAAAATATTATCACTTTCCATAAATTAACTATCGATGAAAACCCCATTACAGGTAGGTACTCTCTATAATATAAAGTCTATATATCATTACATATTTACATATAATTAATTCTTAAAATAAACAAGACATTTTGAAATGCTTATTAAATACTATGACAAATATATGATAAAAAATAGTCTAACATATATTTTATAAATAATCTTTATTGAAATTGGTAAATTATCTGTTAGGACTAAAAATGTACACAATCACGGTGCACCGTGTACGAGACTTGGAAAAAAATTTACCACAGTACTTATTGTTTTTTTTTTTTTTATAAGTAGGTAGGTACAATAAAATATTTGAAATACATAGTACAAATATTTAAATATCTTTTAAGAGGACGTCGTATCCGCATATGCTGTCTCTGTCTTACACACGTAGGACATAGCACATTTTCGTTCACCAGTTTCAATTGTGTGATTTAGTTTTGATATTACAGTGAATTGACCTATTATCAAACTTTAAGGAAAGAAAATTATCTGTGTTCCCTTGTTGAGTTTTTATTATATTTTAAGTTTTATGTGAATTATGAGCATTTTCAAATAATAATATTTTACATAAGTACTCATAACACATTTTTGAAACTATAGTGAACGAAAATTTGGTATGTCGTACTTGTGTAAGACAAGATAATATACAGGTGCGACGTCCTCTTAAGTGTATTTTTTTCAACGATCTATATTGGGTGACGATTGGACGATATACCAAATGACCATCCCCTAGGATCTTACCATGGTAGTGATAGTATTTTTTTGATAACGATTTATAAACGATGATTTGTTAATTTGTTAGTATAATATTATTATATTTATACAACGCAATAATGTAAATTAGATAAGAGGGGGAGGATCAATCATCAACACGTGTCATTATACTCACATGTGTAGTGTACGCTAGTGGGACCGTGGTCGCGTCAATGACACTTGCTGAAGTTTGTGCATATTATGTAGAACAGAATGAGATTCATCGCGTTCGAAAATACTTTAGATCGTATTTATCATTATGAATGTGTTTTCGCGTTTAATCCGCTCGGTGTTAAAATCGTTCCTCATCAGTTTGAGGAGAAAAGTCCGGAAACGTTTCGTGGTCGGGGTGAGTTATATCTCGAATTATTTTTAATGGGGGTGGGCCTCTATAATCTCTTTACGTTTAACGAATAGAACGTCGTAATAGCATCACTTTAGATTCTAAATCGTGGATCTGGGAAATTGCTGGGATCCATTGGTTTATTTCATATGATGTGTTTTTATGTTTTTTAAATATCTAACCATCGTAGACTCTTAGAAAAAATTGAAAAATGTACACATATTGAACAATGACTGACCATTTTTCAGTATTCTTTGAGAAAGCTTTAGGGATAACAAATATTGAATTTAACCCGCACTCGTAGTTTGACAAAATATTGTTCACTTTTGTGTAGTATACATATTATACTTTTTGGTATCGATTTTTGTCGCTTCCAAAATATTTAAACTCGGCAAATGTATACGTATCGCATATTCGCATTACGGTATAATATAGTAATTACAGTATCGTAGTTCACTTATCCATAAATTATTTACTAATTATAAATATACAAACATTATAACAGCAGCAGCAGCTGTGCCGCATGGCTTTTTTTTAATATTAATACAAGTCATTAGTTTAATTATAAATATTTTCAAACGCTTCCTTAAAACTTACTGGTATTAGAATAAAATCATTTATTTTTTTTTTTTTCAAACCTCTGCACCGGGTCGCAGTAGTTATAATGATCTCATTTGTAAATTTAATCTAAACCAACTGCGTGCTCGTTGTGAAATTATACGTTTTGTGAGACAAAGAAGACGAATGCATGGCTGTTAGGTATATATTATACTTTTTCGGTAGGTAACACGGCGCACACACTCGCTCTTAGTTTTTTATTTCTTTCACTATACTTTTACCAAACGGCACGTGAATTTCGAACAATGCAAATTATCAGTTGATACGACCACCGCGTAGTGTGCTATCTTCACTTTTGGTTTCCCCTCGCAATATATATATATTATATATAGGTACAATATTACGTGTTTACGACGTCGTCGTTTGTCTTGTTTTACCGCACAGGATTTATCGTGATTAATTCTGCTGGATTTCGCTCGAGTCAACTGCGGCGGCGAGGCCCGATTAAAATTTTTTTTCATGTTAATGTGCGCGTTTGGCGCGACTTGAGTGTTTTCGAAGGATTTTATTTTTTTTTCTCCTTGCCAAACAAATAATCACAACACAAACAACAAAACTTTCAAGGTTTCCCATCCCGAGAATTTCGCCTCGTTTGTCCCGCAAATTCACTTTGCTTCGTTTACATACATATTATATTATGTACATAAGTACAGGTGCGCACTCGCACACTCTAAACGCGAAGTTTTGTACATTTCATTATTATAACATTATATATTATACTTACGATCGTGAGATTATTGCTGCAATGAAGTAACTATAGCGCCGTACGCACCACCGCCGTTAGCAAATGTTCTGTTGAATTATTAAACTATTATTTTCCTCTCCCCCGCGATGTCGTTATATATAATACGTATAATATATATATATATAGAAATTAATACAACTACGTCTCCCGTGCCGGACCCGAAATCTGCGGTCGTATATTTCGTTTAATCGTAACTGCACCACCACCGTTTGTTTCCCTACAACTACGTCCCTTATTTCTTTATCGCGGTTCTTTAATTCTCTCGGTAAACTCCGCGATACCGCCTTATGAATAATAATAATAAACGTTTAAGCTATATATATATGTCCGTCCATTATGTTATTAACTCTCTCGCGTTTTAAACTCCGTTTACGAGAGCGACGATTCCAGAGCGTTCATATTATAATAGTCGTTATACGCGATTATGCTTTAAAAAACGGATACCTAGTGTTATCGTGTTATCGTCTATTCAGAGAGAATTTCCTAATTTATTTTTATCGTGATACTGCATTCTTGGAGGCACTAGGTATACGGTTTTATGTTTGTAACTATATAGGATGACAATATTTTCCGAATCGTGAAAAATAGTAGGTACGCATTATTATAGACACGTCATAAAACATAACGAAAATAATGACAGATCGTATACATACAACAGTCGATGGTTGAAAGTAAGCTGCTGACGTAGCGTATAACATAATAATATTATAACATCCCTCGTGCATCAAACGTTTCGCAAATTATTAATCGATTCGTGACGGTGGTTTTAATTAATAATAATCAACTCGTGACGCTTTTCACGTCACGAAACCGCGACGACGTGTCTCGAGTGTTATAGTGAAAATAAGGCAGGTTGGGAACTCAAACTGAGTATGAGTGTGTATAAATTGCAGTCGTCGTTATTTTGAAAAAATCTTATTCATAATGCCGTCTGGTTATTATTTGTCAGACCTGTATTATAGCGACTGTAGTGTCGGTTTTCACACGCGTCGTTGGACCGCAGATGATTTTAACGTCCTAATTTTAGTTTCTGAGGAAATGCTCATTTTCGGTACTCTTGAATTCAGAATTTCAGACATTTTCCAAGTCTCCCGAGCGTAAATCGATTTCTTTTCGTATATGCGTTCGAAGACACAAATCTGTACATTGCGTACGCGCAATATTGTATATTATTTTATATAATTAACATACAACTGTATACTAGTGTCTCTCGCATTATCTCAACGTCCGTTTTTCTTCATTCGCAGGCTAGAAGCGATTCCATGGCGTCCGTGTACTCAGGCGCCGGAGAGGGCAGGTACGGCATGGTGCCTATCAGAGGTGAGGTGGAGTTTGGTCTTCAGTACAACTATAAAGCGGCACAGTTCGAGATCAACATCAAACATTGTCGCGACCTGGCAGCTGCCGATCCCAAACGAAACAGATCCGACCCGTAAGTACGATGGCCATAATATAAAGTGTACTCTTTCAGATCAAAAAAAAATATCAAAATTCAACATAAAAACGAGGCTTGAGAGTTTTTCCTGTGAAGCCATTTTTATTGATATAATAACACCCCTTAAATAGGTATCTGCAGGCAGTAGATTAGTGGAAAAGTATTATAATTATAAGGTAGGTACCTATAGCAACTAAAATATAATTTTAAATTTTTTAAAACTGCGGGAAATCATGAAAACCGGCACCGACACCCTTAAGGGTGTTTTTAGTACCTTCAACAATTGTCCTCGCAATAAAAACTCTTAATGCCTCGTAATATACCTAGTCACATTTGTGCCCCTAACTTTAAATCGTCTGAATTTTCATCCCTTATTAAATATCCGGCTCAATCTGACATATTACTAATATTATTATATATGCTCGTACCACGGGTCATCGATTTAGATTTTTTTTTGATCCCATTCCACGTATAATGTGTTAATAAATCGATCTCGTTATTACTATACAAGCCTATGAAATATTTTTCTTAAAAGTCATGTTTGACAAAAAGAAATTCTTACCTTGAGATACAATCAGTAATCGTTGCATGCATCTTTTTTTCTTATTTAGCTACGTAAAAGTGTACTTATTGCCCGACAAATCCAAGGCCGGCAAAAGAAAGACTCGAGTGAAGAAGCACACCATGAACCCGATATTTGACGAGGTGCTCAAATACAGTCTACCTTTGGAAGAGCTCAACAGCAGAACACTGTGGTTAAGCGTGTGGCACTCGGACATGTTCGGACGCAACAACTTCTTAGGCGAGGTCCAACTTCCTCTGGAGAACATGATATTCGACGATCCATCACCAAAACTCTACCCACTTCAGGAACGAGTGAGTATTATTTTATTAAAATATATGACCGAACGAAGGACCGGTGTCTAATGACTGCTATTTTGTATATGTTACAGACAGAACCTTTAGATGATATTATGTGTGTCAGTAACAAAGGCGAAATTATCGTCGGCCTGAAGTGTGTGCCACCCGACCCGAACTCAAAAAAACGTACCAAGGGCACATTCCTTCTGCTAGTGAAAGACGCGAAGAACCTTCAAGCGATCAAGTCTAACGGCTCATCCGATCCGTTTTGCAAAAGGTGAGTAATTGGTGATGTGAAATGTAATTTATTCTAATCTATTTTTAACCTCATTTTCCAGTTATTTACTACCCGACAAGGGTCGTAGTTCTAAGCAGAAGACCAACGTGGCCCGAAAGACGTGCAACCCGAACTGGAACCAAACGCTTACGTACCGAGACGTGTCTCCAGACGAATTGGCGGAGCGGAGTCTGGAACTTACCGTTTGGGACCACGACCGATTGGGCAGCAATGAGTTCTTGGGAGGCGTCCGCCTATCGTTGGGTTCAGGTAATTCATTTTTTAACCGACAAACAAACGATTTTTAAAAACAAAAAATCCGAATGATTTAGTCAAATCGGTCCAGACGATAATATTACTGTGGGCAAATATAATAGTAGGTAAAATCCCCGCCGAAATATGCTGCCGACTCGCGACAAGCCATTATCTTTGGGGGGAGGGGCATACCGTAGCAATCATCGTCCCAACCGATGGCGAACTTTTTTTCTGTGATGATAATGACATCTTGAGTTGACTGTTGTAATCACGTAGAACGGGTTTTGAAACGTACGCACGACCTCTCTCTCTCTCTCTCACCCTCACTCCATTATAGTGGCAATAATAATAATTATTATCATCGGTGTTTCCCGGCCACGATATCACAATTCACAGCATAATAGGACGTATATACGCCGTAATAATGACAATGGTAATTTTCACCTGCCTGATCGGTGTGTAATAAACAATAATTATCGATTGGAGAAGACTTCGCGTCGTACTGAGTTTCAAAAACCTCCCATGTGTGCGAGTTACACGCACCACTCCGGTGTATACGTCTATAGAGGAACAAAACACTTATTTTCATCGTACTTTCTGTAGGTAGGTAGTTTAAAGGTCTGTGTCTTGGAATTTAATGTTAATACAGCATGGAACACGTCAGTGGCGTATTTATTCGGGTGGAATAGTTCCCAGGGAATTTACAATATGATTAATTATTCGTATAATTAATATATTTCATGTGATTGTATGATAAAAAAAAAAAAATGTTTTTATTGAAGAATATTTTGTACTTATCGTGATGTAGATAAAGTATGTTACAGAAATTAATAATAGTGTACATATAGATATAGGTAGGTACATATTATAAAATAATTTCACTATCTGTTATTTTCTACTGAATTTTCAACCCATTTGTATACACATCACGAGTGTTATTTTACTTGCGCGTTGTGTGATCAGCTGTGTGTATCTGAGTGATCGGAAATACTTACACGAGTACCTATAACATTTGATATGTTAACGAATATTAAATATAATATGAAAGTTTCTACACAGAAATAAGTTAGTGATTTACTATTCACTATCCCCTTTAGAAAATTAATAACAATAAAATGGTACGCTTTTCTTGTGATATGATTGCAACTTATTTAGTTGCACAAATAATGTAAAATATGACATATATATATATATTTTGTTTAATTTTATATAATATATACAATTAAACAATATAATATTAATATACTATGAGAAATACGTTTATATAAAACAACTTCTGAATAACTCGCGTTATATAGTCTATAATAATTGATAAACGAATTTTTCGATTGACATTAACGGGTAAAACAACTTTTAAATAGTATTCGTACCTTAAAGAGTTATTTTTCTAACTCGCATCAAAAAATAGTTTTTGATCACATCAGCTAATAAAGTGGGAAAACATTTTTGCTCGTAATTTAATTTACAATTTATTCCGGAATATTAAGATATTTATTTATATTAATGAGAAACTACATCAATAGATCATAATATTATTTAAATATCTCGTGTAGAAACTTACATATCCTTTTTAGGTTTGTGTTGGACCTTAGTACCTTACCATTTACCCATGAGTATTTACAATCATTAATGAAGATAATCATTCAACACCTCCCCCCTCCCCCCCAAAAAAAAAAAAAAATATAATAATATATAGTTGCCACAGGGTTGCTACGCACTCACTATTTCTCACTATTCTCACTTTATTTGAGTGTGCTCACTTTTTCGCACTTATTTCATTGATTCCTCACTTTTTTCACTTTTTAAAGATCTATAAATGTAAATAAGTGTTTAAATTAAATATTCGAAATTTTTATAATTATTTATGTTTTAAGACTATTTTAAAAAATAAAAAAAAATGAATTGCGGAATAAAAATCCCCAGACTACAATATTACTCATAACTTCATGAAAATGGTTGAACAAATATTTTTTAAACACTAATTAGTATCTATAATTACCACATTATTAATATTTAATTACAAATACGTATATTATATTATATTATACTATATTATAATATCATTCAAAAAATTAATATACATAATAGGTACTATAATATCAGTTTCTACAGTTGTTATATTTGTTAGATACCTACATTTTATTTATGTTATATAATTTAGGTACTGTAGGTAGAACCAATTATTATTAATATTTAAACAAAATTGTTTTATAAGTATAATTTTTAACTTGTTTATAATAAACTGAAAAAGTAAAAAACAACTAAAAATATTTTAAACTATTGTATTTTATTTTTATGTTTTTGTTTAAAAAAACTCAAATATAATATGAAAATAATACTCACTTTTTACTAGAATATTACTCACTTAATTGAAAAAAATACTCACTATTCTCACCTTTTTTAAGAAAAAAATTAGTAGCAACCCTGTTGCCACTGAATTTAGTATAAAATTATACCATTTTTGAGTTGAGTTATCCGAAAAATTTAACACTAAATCACAGGTATACATTAATTATTTATTATCTAGTTATTTATGAAATTACAATATTTAGTTATTCTATATATTATCATATATGAATATTAGTTGAGAGTGATGCTGGTTTATAATTACTCGATAAACCAATAATGATCACTTACAGGCATGGGACACTCTGTAAATGCATTTAAATACATTGTAATTTATACGTTTGCGCCCCCCTCCCCAGAAAAATTTTGAAAATCTGCCACTGATATATTATATTGTGTAGTATGAACTACCTATTTCGCCCCTACGTGTGCAATATGAAAATGGTAATGCGTAGAACGAATTTAAAGGTTATGTTAATTAAATCCATAAATATGAGTAGTTCTGCAGTTGTATACTTAAAAGTACGGAAATACTTACCAATGTTTTTGTGAATTCATTTTAAAAAAAAATTATGAATTTTTCAGGTATGTGTGACGGCAAACCAGTCGACTGGATGGATTCCAACGAAAAAGAAATCGCCTTGTGGCAGAGGATGTTGGACAGACCAAACTTTTGGGTCGAAGGTTGCCTGACGTTGCGACCGTCGTTGGAGTTAGCGAGCAAAAATTAAAACTAATATCCGTTTATTTTTTATACACACAAAAATCAATTATTTTATTCTTCGGACGTATATATATGTCTTCGTATATTTTTTTTTATTATTATTATTCCGCGTCGTTGTGATGTGTGTAAGTACATTATATATCAGTATCGTCATTAATATTATTTCATGATTATCATTATTATGAAACAGTATTGTGTATAGGTACTCACCAATGGAAACATTGGTCTTTGATTTCATTTTAATTATTTCTATTTTATTTTTTATTTTTTATGTTTTGTTGTTTTTATATAAACTCTAAGGATATCTGTGATCTGAGAATATTTCGATCGTGTAGCAAACGAAGAATTTTATAATAATTATAATATGTATATCGGTCTTCCATTCGAATTTTGTACGTATCATATATTACTATTATTATTATATAATACATATTATGTAGTTTTAATATTTACGTGTTTTTACCTACACGGATAGTATTTGTGCGTTTTATGTGCATCTCGTGTTATTTATTTTTTGATAAATGTGCAGTATTTTTTTATTTTATTTTACGTATTACTATTATTATTATTATTATTATCATAACTTATAGACATATATATATATATATATATATGAGTATTAAGTACATTATAATATTATATGTAATATACAATTTGTCCGGTCGTAGAGCAAAATAGAAAATGGGTTGGGGAGAGTACTCCTAAGAATAACACGTATCTCGTCCGTTTGGAATGAGGGACATGCGTGTGTAACTTTGCGTATAAGTAGCCAAAATAGTATTATGTTTCTCTCGGAAAACATATTTTAATGAACATGAAATATGTGTTGTAAACATTGCCGATAAATATATAATATAATATTGTGTAGTGTAATATATATTATGTACCTATTATACGATGTGTGCTGCAAAGTTCATTATTTTTTGTATATAAAATACCTAGTATTGTTGTTTTTTATTTATTATTATTTAAACCTGCTCATCGGTGTCATTGTGTCGATAACTCTAAAATGCAACAACAGTTATAATAATAATATTATTATTATACTCGAGCTCACACAATATTGTGTATGAGGTAACTGCTATATATATATATATATTAGGTATTTACAAAATTCAATATCGCATATAAAATGTGGCACATAAATTGTCATTTGTCATTGACATTGATAACATAACATGATTTGATGCAATGGAAAAGTTGTAATGTTGGGAAATAAGTTTTAAGTGCGAGTAAGGATAAAAATGAAATTAAATATAAGAATTTTTTTTTTTTGTATTGGTTATTCTTCCTGTTTGTCATTGGGTACAACCATAACAAACTTCAGTTTTTTAAATAAGAACCGGCCCCCTTTCGTTTTTAACTATTGAGCAGATATTTTTTTTTATAATTTTGATGTATATACCTAAATCAAATTTCAAGCTAGTGGTTTTTGAGTTATATAATGTGTACTAAGGATAATGTGTCTATGGTAATGGCCAATGGGTTAAGTAGATATAGGGGCTTAGATGATTGGAAAAAGTTAGAAATTACTATTGATCTATCAACATAAATAATTTCTAAATTATCCAAGTATAATAAATACTACAATATCTAATATTACATAATAACTACACTATTATTGCTTATATTTTTATAAGACCATTTTTAAGGAATAATAATATTATTACACTCAAGCTCACATATAATGTTGAAGAATGCAGTGTATTGTGGTATATATATTATTTTCAAAATTCAATATCGTGTAAAAAATGTGGCACACAATTTCCACGTTTGTCATAGACATTGATAACATAACATGATTTGAGTTAATGGAAAAAATGTAATATTGGTAAACAAGTTTTATGTACAAGTAAGGAAAAAATGAAATGAAATAATATAATCATTTTTTTTTTTTTGTACTGGTTACTCTTCCAGTTTAGGAACGAAAATTCAAATAAATACAATCATAAGGTTCTACAATATTAAATTATTTTTACAAATACTTCTAAGAAATATATATTTGAAGTACTTCCGCTGGTTGGCCTCTGTCGTCTGTCTTTTTTTCTATGACATTATTTAACTTACTTAGTAATTGTATCACTTAAGCTAATTATTGTTCTAATTGAAAAATATGATATAGAATTTTGATAAAAAAATATATACATATATAGAGTGATTTTGTAAGCATATTCACCGTATTTTTGTGCTTAAATTATGCATGTAATATTCAAATTCTGATTTTTTATACATTTGAAGATCATATTTTCGAATCCATGAGATTTTATGTACCACTCAAGGATAATCATGTGACATTTCAAACTTCTGTTTTTCAAATATGAACCACGATCCCCCCCTCCCCCTCTTTAATTATTGAGCAGATATTTTTTTATTGAGATTTTTGATGTATCTAAATCAAAATTCAAGCTAGTAGTTTTTGAATTATGTAATTACGTGTGCGTATATTAATGATAATAATATGTCTATGGCAATGGGTTATAAGTAGATATTAAGGGGGCTTGGACAATTTGAAAAAAAGATATAACAGTTATTATTGATCTGTCAATATAAATAATTTGTAAAAATTATCCAATTATAATAAATAGTAAGGGGGACAGAGTGGCCAAGCGGAGACTAATGTGTCTGCTGTGACGCAGCCGACGCTGGTTCGATACCTCGGCCGCGGGCGGCATTTGTCTTAGGGCAAGTCACGATGTCCGGAGAACAAGTGCCGCCATCCTCCACCCGGGGCATGGCAGAAACCTACTGGTGGTCCATCAGAAATTCTGCCAAAACACAACACACACGAGTACCAACCTACCCAACTCAAAACCCCACAGTTTCCTCCCCTCACCCAATGGCCTATGTTGCCGCGGGTTATCCAATTAAAAAAATAAATTAATAGTAAATATATCTTTAACTACATCTTTAATATTACATATTATGGTTTATATTTTTACAAACCATTTTTGAGGATTATTATCCTCAGTATAAACATTTTAATAACTTATCAAACTAATCATTATAATGTTGATTTAAGGGGCCTCCCTACTGCAGTCAATTTTAGCTAAAAAAACTTTTAAAATTAAAGTTAGTTTATGTTGTCCAATTTTGATTCTGAAAAAAACTCGTCAGAAAATTGTCTATAGGTCGTATGGCACACTTTGTAAATATTAAATCATACCTATTATTGTGAACTGTAATGACTAACTTTAATTTTGTCAAAATAACAAGTATAAGTTATCATAAAATTGTGAATTGTTATCGAATTATTGACATGTGCATGAGCGTAAGAGATTGGTACTAGCATTGAATTTCACTCAAGCTAATAATAATCATTTACAACTAACACAATAACACATAGTTCTAAGACAAGATTAGAAATTGCCTAAATGTTGCCCCTCAAATACGCATACAATTAATGTTCAAGAAAATCATCAGCTATATAATTTTCAGTAAAAAATAGGGGTTCTCATTTGCAAAATAGAAGTTTTTATTTTTAGTTCACAGGACACTCCTTAAATACAAAAAATATAATAAATTTAAAAATATTGTCTTTAGGTGTACCTATTTAAAAAGTTCTAAAAATCAGAATTCGAATGTATGCATAATTTAAGCACAATTAATATAGAATGAGTTTGCTTAAAAAAACATTCTGTATTATATTGTTTTCATCGTGATATTTTAAAAATTAGACTAAAAATCAAACTATCAGTAGGTACCCATTTAAATTCAAAGGTGGGACTTAACATGTTAAAAAGTACTTAACTAGTTAATTATTTTTGTTTTTAACTTATTAACTTCTTCAGTTAAAATGTCTATTGTTGTAACTTAACTTTTTATAGTTAATTATCATTATTGTGTTGTTGACTTAATTTTCTTTTCGTGTAATGAGTAATCAACTAAACAATACTGATTCGTTTACTCTTTTTCTATTTTAGTCATTTATTTTTGAATTATATACTATAAATTAAATAATCTATTTTTTTACATAGTGTAAACGTCTTAGTAAATGTTTGTGCACAACAAAATCCTAGGGCAGTTTATGATTTACTAAAAATATACTAACTTCAAAAAGAATTAACTTCTTTTTAACAGAGGTTAAGTTAATTTTATTTTCTATCTTAACTTCAAACTTGTCTAGTTGATTTTTATTGTTTTTGTTAACTTTTAACTTAACTGAAGGTAATTTAATTGAATTAACTTAACTTGCCAAACTGCCACAGTTAATTATTTTCATTAACTTGCCCACCTTTGTTTAAATGTAGTAGCTATATTTGAGGAGAGAAATATTTATTTTTTTTTAACGTAATCGCTTGGTTATCATAATACAGCCCATAAATTAAACGTGCTTATGGTGTGCGGCACAAATGTCTAATTTTGACGACAACGTACAGATAATATTCGCAATGATTACATCGTTCTCGTGTGGTGATATTGAGATTTGAATAAAATAATATTTTTAAACGAATTACACCAAAACCAAGTCCAAGCCCATCGACAACAATAATATTGTTATTGTGATTTAATGTAACTCGTGATTATAGGGGAACAGCCAAAACTAATTTCTACAATTAATATATGCATTCAAAATTGTATTTATCTCGTCATTTTCGTGATGCAAGAATGTGCATAATATATTTCAAAGATTTTTTAATGGAAATGTGTAAATGCTTTTTTTTTTTTTTAATATACAAACAGTGTCGGTCTGGCCCACCCGGCTACTAGTCGATCCCCTTTGGATATTTTTATATATTGAGGGTCCTAGCCGAACGGGAAAGGAATAAAAAAAATAATTTAAGTTTACTCGCAATTCTCACGAATTTCTTTATGTAATATTGATCAATATGACAAATTTATCAATAATTTATACGAAAAAAACTGAACTAGAATATTTGCAGCTATATAATATCGAACTAGAGGTACTGACTTTCCAATAAATTAATGAACATACCTACTGCAGTATAGGTGTGTATTACCTATGTAATATATTACATTTATTTTATTTGTATCTATTTAATCATTAAAAAGTACCTATATATTTATACCAAAACAATTGTCAAACTGTGAAATCATATTTTATGAAAGCTAAATACCTATAAGGCTCTACATTATTTTATTTATATGAACTTGAGAGGATGTCAGCGCACTATTTGTCTTCTCTCTCTGGCCCACGCGCAACGTGGACAACAAAACGTATGAACGCAGAATCATTTTTTCCATGTTTTTAAGTAATCTTAGACTAAAATCACCCATTACAATAAAGATAGTGAATGTTATTTTAGAGGGAATGACATATTGATTTTATATTTTATTGTTATTTGACTATATATTCGGCTTAAAAAATAAAGAAAAAAAATGTTGTAAATTTAAATTATGCTTGAATTTTTTTTGAGACAATATTTTGTCAGATCTATATGTCTCATTCCCTCAAAAATATTATTCTCTATCTTTTTTGGTACGGGTGATTTTACTCTAAGATTACTTAAAAACTTAAAATACGATTCTGCGTAAATGCGTTTTGTCCACGTTGCGCGTGGGCCAGAGAGAGAAAACAAATAGTACGCTGACATCATCTTAAACGCATTTAACACAAAATAATTATATCTAATAATAATTATAATACCATGTTGGAGAACGGAGTGGCCGAGAGACTTCGGGGATTGGAGATTGGGTTCCATAGTATTGTTATTATAGTTATAAATCGATGATATTAATTGTACACGGAAAATAAAGTTACCGCTACCTTGGTAAGACACATAAAATATTAACAATGTGGTAATATTACACTAATTAGCTTTTAAAAAACATTTGATCAATCGATTGCATGCATAATGCGGTCACTTTTTACTATCATTTATTTAAAGTATATATACTCAAAACTAACCACGTTAAGTATCATACTCTCCAAATAGGAGGAATAGGTAATCGTGGGTTATAACTTATAACCTATCAAACATAATTTTATTTGGCATTTTGACCTTTTTATATATTGTACACATTTTTAATTTACTTTTCAACACATCTTTTGATAATAATATAATACAACTGTAATTTATAATCATATTTGATTATTTTGATAATTTCAAGACTTTTAAGTAATCAAGTTTCTAAATTAATTTCTAAAAATATGATAGCGCCAAGAAATATTTGGCTGTTATCTAACCATTTAATTAAAAAAAACTTGGATTATTTTGACTGTTGTTAATAATATACTATATTTTGGTCACGCCTGCGCCGTAAGTTTAGTTTTCGATGACGGCTGAGCGTTAGAAAGCGACTTTTTTCCGTCTAGTGGGAGGTAAAATGGAAATCCCCAAAAGTGCTAAGAGCGCATATCACGCGTATCCCCTGCACAACTAGACACTGAAATCTATACCACTATCCTTACAAGACATACCTACACTTTTGGTTTCATCTTATATATTCATATTATAACCTTCTTGCATAACGCATAAATAGCCCAGTCAACTCAGACCAAAAATCGACAAAGTTCGGAACTAATTCTCCGAAAGCTGGATTTTGGTTTTTTTTTTAGTTAATACCTCACTAATAAAATACTTAAAGTTCTGACACCTAGGAGGTACGCCTTGTGCGTAGCCTCTCACCCCTCTTCAAAGAGTGGCGGGCCCCTTTAACTGTTTTAGTTTATAACTCATTAGATTTTCAAGTTACAATAAAAATACATATGTCAAAAATGCTGCATCTAGCTGTAGCATCCCAGCCTGCAGTTCGGCATAATCACCGACAGACATTTTTTAGACAGCGATAGAGAAGTAATGCGATATTAAAGATTTATCAGAATTAATATTAATATATTAAAATATTAATTTCAAGACATAAATAATTAGCGTGGCGGGCCTTATAGGTTGGGGACCCCTGCGTATGGTCAGGTTAGGGTGGCCCAGGTTGGTCAGAGAAATAGTAACCACATCTGATAATAATATAATGACCGTCTGCGCACGACTTCGAATAATTTCAGTTGTATGGTATCCACTCTCCCTCCAGAAACGAATATCCAGATATCGAATAGCATTGAAAAAATATGCCTTTTGCATCGGTCGGACCGGTCGTAGCGATCCCGTTCGTCAGTCGGCAACGAGCGAGAGAGCAGTGATCATAACAGTGGCAACAATATCGTACGAAAATCAATTTTACTAAAAACTCAAAAACCATTCGAATTAAATTAATAATTAGACATGACGTGATTGACGTGTTAAAATATATAAGTAGGTATTGGCGTATTGCACAAATCGTTCTTTTTATAGAAAACTGATACATATTTCGTTGGCGTTCGCAACGATCCACTGTTTCAACAGAAATGGTAATATTATTATGAGTAACGTATTAAGTTTATTTTTAATATTTTATAATAGGTATTTAATAGAAATTTCTTCCAACCAAACTAAACAGTTTTCCGTCTAGTTAAATCCTTGTTCCTGCACTCTTTTCGAGTACTTATTACACTGTCTCGAGACTTTCATCGAAACTACCTACAATAATAATTAGAAAAACTATTCAGAACTCACCTATAGGTATGGTTGACACCGGGTTTGCTCAAGTCCTTCCGTTCTCCAAACGTCTCTCTGTCGGTTCACAACTGTATCCAATAAAAAAAAAAACAAAAATACCCACGCACAAAATATCTAGTCAAGTTTGATTTTCTGATTAATTTCAAAAATTTAACAAAACCCTCATAGATTCTATAATATAGAACATTCAAATATTCAAATATTATTTGTATATTATGTTATAATATTATGTATCTACAGCTAAAATGCTTTGTAGTAAGACTTTGACTTACAATTACTTATGTATAACAGGGCTATATATTGTCATATATAGACAATATTTTATTAGTTTTGTCTTAAATAACCCCCTCCAGTTATATGAAGTGTCTATAATTATATTGTTATAATCACAAAACCATTAAGAAATAATTGAATACACAAACAAACAATTGATTCACATAACGATGTGTTTATAACAATTAATAACATTAACCATACTATTACCCACATCATACATAGGCTTAACGAGTGTACAACAATAAAATCTAATATTAGGTTATCTAAATGTATAATATTGTATCTTTTTCGTCAATCATTAACATTAATAATTTATATCATAATACAGCCATAAGACGTAATAACAATAGAACACCAAGAGAAATTCATAGAAAAAATTGGTAGGTAAAAAGCAGACTATACAAGGCCGGCCAAGCTATTCTTAGCTATACAAATTGAACGTTTTCTAATTTTTTAACTACAAAATTTGAACTTTAAATGTTTACAAAAAAAATCGAGCCCATGATCTTGAATATTTATCAACAGCTATAATTATAACAACTTTTAGGGAGCCTAGCTTGTATTAATTTTCAAACTTTTTTACTCAACGAATACAATTTTATTGACATTTATAGAATGAAAAACTAAAATATAATTGAAAATTTAAATTTTAAAATGTCTATAAATAACTCAAAAATATAGTCAAAATATTTTGAAAAAGTTATCATATAATTATATAGAAATTGATTAAATAAACATTCAATCAAGTATCTGAGGTTAATATATTTTTAAATTACAACAAAATAAGAATATCGTTGTGTGAGAATTTGTTTAAATGGGGATAATATCCAATGTCTAATTTCAAACACTCGTAAAAAATTAACTTTCCGGTAAACTTTTTTTTTGTTAAATGTAGGAATACTTAAGGTGAATCTTGTATAAGAATTTCAAATTATTTATGAATTTATAACTAGAAATTATTTGCCAATTTTCAAGTTTTTATGAATTTTTTCAACATTTTAAACTGAGACCCTCACAAAAAATTATTGTGTATTTGTTCTCAAATTTTTATTCAATTTAGGTACACTAAGCACAACTTAAGAGTACCTCACCTTGTATTACATTTTCAAGTTTTTTGAAAGAATGAAATATTTTTTGACGACAATAATTTTAAAAAAAGTAATAAAACTCGAAATTTTCTAATAGTTCAAAAAGAATCGCAATAGTTCGAAAATTGTTTGGTGCATAGATAATGCTAAAATAAACATTCAGAGAAAATTGTATGTATATATGGTTATTTATTTAGAGTTAGGTATAGGTACACTAAAACTGGTTCGAAAACTTATTTTGTATAAAAATCACAGTTTTTCCTTACTTTATGATTTGTTTTTCCTGATTCTTTTGAAAACTATTTGGAAGTTTTTACTTTTGACCCCCCAAAGTACCAACTAGATTCACTTTCCTACCAGAAAAATGCTGTTGAAGAAAATTGAAGCATTTTTACTGCCCCGAAAAGGTGATGGCAGAATTTTTATTTTTTTGTCTTTCCTATAAACTACCCTGAAACAAATTTAACATAATAAAAATAATACGACCATCTAACGAAATATTTAACCTTTTTATAAATGTACTTTAATAGCTTGTACTTTTAATCAATTTTTCTCTAGAAATATTTTAATTGAGTGAAATAAATTTCAAGCGACTATATTAGATACTGCTCGTCGGACGGTGTGATTTTATGACGTCACGCGTATAACGCGACTTATATTTAAACACGGAAGCAATTGTCCGACAACATTTTTCGGACCACCAAAATTATTCTTTATTAAAGCACTATATTTTCACACAATAAAAAAATATATGTTTTTTTAGTTGTATAGTCCTTTAAAATAATTTAAATATACATATAATATTGTTTTGATTATTTTTACATTTTACATACAATATATTTACAACAAAATAAAAGTAATTACCTAAGTATGTATTATTATTATTATTAATAAATAAATTATTGATTTTTTAAATAAATTGTTTTTGTCCAATAAGATCTTGTTCAATGTATTGTCCGACTTAAAAATTTAGTGTGAGCGAATAATTAACATGTTTTAATCATTAACATACCCATTTGCACCAAAGTGATACTTATATGCTTCCCTTACCAAGTAATACTTACCTATGTTATTCTTAACGCTAACTAATTTATTAACAAGGTCGGTCTTCCCAGTGTTGGTACACTGACTTTATAGACGCATATTATATTCAAATATATGTGGCGCATGAGTGTATGAAACTGAGCAGAGTGTAATTATTCGCGTCCTTACGACGCCGTAATTTTAATAAAATAAAAATGTAGGCTAACATTTGTAGCAAATAATTAATAATTCAATTTGAAATATGTTTAAAAATGTTTATTATATAAAAAAAAAATACCTATTTGTTATTCAGAATTCTACTAAAATTAAAGTCAACAACGTCGATATTAACTACTTTAAAGTCGGAAACGGACCACAGAAACTGTTGATATTTCCAGGAGCACTAGGTACGTCTACCTATCATTTTAACCGTATGCCTAATGATTTATCTATAAAGGTTTTTAGGGTTTCGACTCCGGGAGTTTGTCAGTCGACCGGTTAAGCTGCAGTAATATTATTATAATGCATATTTTACTTTTTTACATAGGCCAAGTCAACGATTTTACGCCTCTAACGGAAAATCTCGATCAAGAAAAGTACACGATATACGTATGGGATCCTCCGGGATACGGTTCGAGTCGACCACCGAACAGAGATTTTTCACCAGGATTTTTGAACCGTGACGCTGACTGTGCCATCGCACTCATGGAGGTAATAATATTATACAAATAGATATGCCTAGGGGCGGATCCAAAGGCGATGGGTGCAGTCCCCCACGAATCCTTAAAAATAGATTTGCATTATGGATAATAATATGTAGATATAATAATATATTGGATCCAATTTTTTCTTTTATATATTTCTGGAGGCCGAGTTGCCAACATACTTTTTGTTATTTTTACGTACTATTTTACAATTTAGGCAGCTTAGTTGTGAGTATAAATACAATTTTCAGCCCCCCTCCCCCTTTAAACATTTCTGTTTCCTCCAACGTACGATGTGGTAACGACTATAACAGTTATATCGTTTTATTTTCCTCCTTTCGGAAGTTGCAAGCGTTGGGTATCGACAGGTACTCGTGTGGAGGTAATATTATGCTTATACATGTAGCTGGTAGGCAAATACGCCAGGGGAGGATCCAATGTGGAAGAAGCGAAGGGTGCACCCCTCCACGAATCCCAAAAAATAGGTTTGCATAATTGCATTACGTGTATATTATAATATATTGGAACCAATTTTTTCTTTTATACTTATATATATCGGGAGGCCTGTGGCAAACATACATACTTTTAGGGCCGTTCTTAGGTTAGGCCGTTAGGTAAAGTGTCGGTTAACTCTAACCGACTGATAACAGATTTTATTACCGGCAGAATTCGGCCGGTTAATAGTGTCGGTTAACTTTAACCGACTGATAACAGATTTTATTACCGGCAGAATTCGGCCGGTTAAGTGTCGGTTAACTTTAACCAGTCATGTAAGAACGGCCCTTAGTTGCTTTTGCGTACTATTTTACGATTTGGGCAGCTTAACCATACTTTAAAGACAAAGTTGAGACCCCCCACAACCACCGTGAAACGTCTCTGGATCAGCCTCTGGATGAGAAGCCTGTGACTTACGACGCGGTAAAGGTTATCGCTTTCCCTTCACCTCTGATCCGGACGTTCCTCTGCAGGCGTTGGGCATCGACCGGTACTCGATGTTGGGCTGGTGCAACGGTGGGTGCACCGCCCTTATCGCAGCTTCCAGGGCCGCCGACCGAGTGGACAAGCTGGTGGTGTGGAGCTGCAACGCGTACGTGACCGGCAAGGACCTCGAGTTCTACGAGACGACGCGTGACGTGCACAGCTGGCCGGATCAGTGGCGACTGCCGCAGTTCGAAATGTACGGCGAGAGGTACGTGTCGGATACGTGGTCCGGGTGGATAGACGCGTCCCGAACGATCCTCAACGAGGGCGGCGGCGACGTGTGCATGGGCGCGCTGGCACACATCGACGCGCCCACGCTCATCCTTCACGGGGCGCTGGACGTGTTGGTGGCCGTCGAACACGCCGTGTACCTGCACGAGAACATCAAGAACTCGACGTGAGTGCTACATAATATTGTTATTCTTAAGAGCGGTCGAGGAGGGGGGGAGAGGATAAAGTAAAAATAAACCCGCAACCCGTGTAACCATTGGCACGACTAGGGGGGGGGGGCTTAGCCACCACCAAAATATCCCTTATTGATTTAGATATAAGGCCCTTCCCTATGGGTTATTTACATTCGTCAATTTCTACTAGTCTCCACCTAGTTATCGTCTGTGATCAGTGTTGGGATTCGAAATTTGTTTTTGTAAATGTTTTAAAATGTGCTCAAACTAGTTCATATACCTATAAAATATATATATAACTAAATTCTCATGTTCTCACAAGTTATGAGTTATGACTCATGAGTGTTACAATTTATGACAATAGCGTATGTTAACAAAAAATCATATCAATACTTATAGTGGAATTTTTTTTTTCATTGCAGGCTTGAAATATTTCCAGATGGCAAGCATATCATACATTTTATGTTCCCAGAAAAATTCAATTCGGTGGTAGATAAATTTCTTACTTGTATACAGTAAAAAATAGGTTACTTTTTAATACTTATATCATTAATTTATGTTAGATATAATATATATTATAGATATTTTATACATTATTTTATACTACAACCTAAACCATAATGAAAAATTACATTTAATTTTAATTTTGAATAATATAAAAGTTATATTTTATTTGGAGTTTACAAAATAAATATAACATTCCTGCGATAAATGTATATAAAACAATATGCAATTTACAACAATTCAGTATAAGTATATTTTATTTATGTTAACTAACACTATATTTTAATCTTCCTATTGAAATTTTTTTTTAAATTATTTTTTAGTCATTCATTTACCTACTTATATTAATTCAAAATTACAAATTTGATGTGAGTACGTTACTATGTTACAAAACCACTCTATTTAAAACTATTCATATTAATAAAAAATGTCTAGGTACGTCATAATTTTTCTTTTCATCAAAACTGATTATATTTGTCGATGTTCGCGATGAACCATCGATCAGCGATGTAAACGAAGCTATTTTGTAACAGTGTCGTATCCAAGGGGCTCGAAAGGGGTTAACATTAGACCCTAGTAGTCTGCCATTTTGATTCTTCTCATAGAATAAACAATAAAAATGATCTGCGAAATATGCGATCCACCGGTATACAGTGGCGTCCGCAGGGGGGAGGCTAACGGGCCAACCATTGCCATATTATTATCACTTTTTCAAAAAAATATTAATCAAGTTTAAACTGTCAACTATAGTAAATCTCATATATGTCTTACCAGAATGAATTCATTTTTGAAAAAACATTGAATTTGCATACCAATTTTCATAAATTATCTGTAATTTTTCGGTAAAAGTATGAACTACTTGTATGAAAGACCTTGTATTAAATTGTCTAGCCTTAGATATACATATTTTATATTTTATAAGTTTTGAACTACAAATTAACCGTGGTTTTGACGAAATTTGAAATTTAAATGCTTATAAAAAATAACCATGATGCCTTTGTATTGTTAATATTTTAGCTATAATAAAAAACTTACATATTACATTTTTAAGCTTTTTGACCGGATAAATAATTTTTTATTGACATTTATAGAAAAAAAATTTTTATTTATCAAATACAATCCAAGTTAAGACGGTATAACCAAACATTTAAATAAATTTTCATTTTTTTTTCTCAAATTATTTTTAAAAGCACTGAGCATTTTCAATTTCAACTTTCTAATAGTACCAACTAGATCCAATTTGCTTCCAAAAACATACACTGGGCATCGAAGCTTATGATCAGAGCATTTTTTCTACCAGAAGAGTTGAAAAGTTACAAACATTTTAAAATACCCCAAATAAACGTCTGCAATTATTAGACTGGACAAAATAAAAATTAAATTGTAACTAATGTCCAAGCCCCCTCCCCCCCCCCCATTGAATAATCCTGCGGACGCCACTGCCGGTATATCACTGATATTTCGTAAAAGATAAGCTAATAAAATAATTCTATCAATGACAAATCATCGATATAGGAACACTAAAGAAATCAAAATGGTGGCCCTCGATATGGGGCCACTTTTCAGTACATGCATTATATACAATGCGCCTTTCATATACAGAGTTCAGTGGATTCAAATGATTTACACTTTTTACTTTAAAAAATTGACGGTGAATATTTTTTGACATGAAAACGAAAAAGACTGAAATAGTGAAATATAATAAAATTAAAAACAATATGAATTAACTTAACTTACTTCTAGAAATGAAAAATTAACTCGTTAATTTCACGTTAATTAAAAAAGAAATTTAGTAAGTTAACAGTTAAGTTAATGAAAAGCCTAAAGTAACTAGTTAAGTTAAAAAGTTAATATGAAATTAACTTTAACTTTTTAAGTCGTTAATGCCCAGCCTTGACTAGTTACAAAAACACATAAAAAAATAAATAAATAGTAAAAAAATTATGGATACGTGATTATATTGTAGTTGGTACTCTCGTTCTACACCTGTACACTTGGTTATTTTATAACGAGGAAAAACGTATAGTTTATACCTACCTACCTAACTCTGCCTGAGTACTGTATATGTAGGTACTATTAACAGTAAAGACTAATTTATTCTAACTTAAGCTCTATACAGTTCCTGACTCCTGTATTTTTATACTCGACCTTGGCGTGGCGTGTGATTGGCTAAACAAAATGCATGCAAGTCGACATGCATATAGAGATCGAGGAGAATAGTTGTTGTGCTAATGATAATCTAATAATCCACAAATATGATTTCGAAATAACAAGACGAGTAACCCACTGTTGGGCCAAAGTATTTTACATGAAATACGCGGTTACCTACGGCTGGTGATGTATTATAATTGTTTTTAATATTAATCGAATTTAATTCAGAGGTATAACTTTCTTCTAAAATTAATTACTGAATAAAAAATAATATATAAAATCATGACCACATATAAAGATAATATACAGTAAAATAGGTACAAAAATGTAATGTTAATATTTTTTTTATATAAAATAAATATATTTAAACTTAAATTTTTCAATATTCTATATTTAAAAAAATTTTATAACAGCGATACCTACCCATTCTTGCTGTTAATTACTATTTTTTTTATTTTTTGTGTATTGATAACCATTGCAACCATAATTCTCGATGCGTCAAATGTGACTAAAATCACTTTTCGGATGATTGTAGGTGGGTACCAATAAAATCGCAACGACTCTGTCACATGTGACCTCTGAACCAAGGAACGTACAGCAAATTTTAAATCTTACCAATCTTCAAATCAATTATCTGCAAGCATCGTGAAAATTGTCATTTCAACTTTAACAAAAATACCCCTAATTGCAAGGAAAGATTTTCTGAGCCTCTCCCCAATGATCAGACCAACTCCTTGTTTCTGTTAATTCTGGACTTAAGCCAAATAGTTTACCTCAAAGTCCAAACATTGAATTAGCGTTAATTGAATTCCTTTCTGACCTATAACATCTAAAATGATACCCGTTCTCACCACTGTATTTAATACCCGAATAGCCTTTCTATTGGCCATTGCACAAGCAGTAAAACCTATAAATAATAATATTAATATTCCATGGTAAATTATAACAACCACCCTAAGTAATAATGCAATTTAAAATATTAGCTTCTTTTTATTCATGGTTTTTCTGCATAATATATTGTATTCCCATGATAAATCGGTAAACGATGTGATCATAATATCTGGTTATTTATCTAATCGTGGACTGAAGTAGTTTTGCCAAAAACAAACCGCATAGGTATACAGGACGTAACAGGAAAACCTGAAAAAAAAAATGATGTTACTTAAACGTATGACAAAAATTGTTAAAATTATATGTTTGGAAAATAATTTATGATATATACACATGTCAGCAAATTCTCAAAAAAAAATGTATTACGTTCCGAAATAATTTAACAAATAAATATTGATATTTTAAACAATTCTAAAAAATAAACTACTTGACTTAGATAAATATTTTTACCATAAAAATTCAAAATTGTTCTTATAATCAGATTAGTTATTTCATCTGTCAGGTCTTCCCGTTACACTCCGTATTATAATATTACTACTATTATTATTATATTTATTATAAAAACATATTATTATTTATTAAAATATTTGTATTAGCTCCTTATCTGTAATTAACTTATAAATCAACTAGGAGCCTTCTATTAAATTTTCAAGCTTTTTAACCAACAAATAAAATTTTATTGATATTTTAAAAAAAAAAACTAAAAAAAATGGAAAACAAAAATTTTCCTAAACAGTTCAAAACAAATCATAATATTTTGAAAATTTTATCGTGTATAGAAAATGCAAATATAGACAACCAGTGAAACTTCCCGTTTTTTCCTTAATTTTTATGTGGTTTTTCTCGGCGTTTGTGTAAACTATTGGAAATTTTAAATAAAATGCACCAACAATATTCACTTTCCCATCGAACAAGATACTGAAGTTGAAAATCGAAGTATTATTTCGACTACTTATCGTGTACACCGATAAACAAAAAAAAAAAAAAAACACACATCATTGTAAAATCAATATATTCATCGTTCCACTCAGAATCTAAAAATCGGCTTAGATCAAAAATTCTAATTAAAAAAGAAATATCGTTGGTAAATAGTGATTTAAATAATTGAAAAATGTCTCTAGGATTTTGTTTTTTCTTTATCATATGATATCAAAACATTATTATAGTTTTATTGTTTTATATATAAATAAATCACATTAGCGGTTTGACGAATTCTTACTCTAGAACAATATCATAATTAATAGTGAATATTGAAAAATATAAGTAAAAACATGCTTTTATCAAGATTTTATGTTTAGTGCCTGTACACTAATTATTGAGCTCAGATTTATACAATAAATGGGGCTATAAAAATAAATTAAAATTTCGAAGCTGAGTTTTTGCTTCAACATAGTATGGAATTGTAGAAACAAAAACTTGAAATTTTGAGTGTAGCAAGAAAATATTTTTAGGGTATTACAATTATGCATACATTTCAGTCGTCACTTTCGTTAACCACGACCCCTCACAAATATGGTTGCATCCAAAAACCGCACACTTTTGATTTTGACCCTAAAAAGGTCGATAGCCAAAAACCGCACAGCTTATCGGTCATTGTATAACAAATTACCGTACATTTATAGTGGGTTAAAACCGCACACTATTTTTAGTGAAAATAGCGAAAAGATAAGATTATAAGAAATATATTATTCAATAATCAAGTATTTAGTTGTCACTCGTTATTATAGTCGGTCTCGATTCAGTTAGTGTACCTACGCCTATAATTTAGTATTAAAACGTTAATATCTTAAATTTTTATAATGGATTTTAAAATTATTGAATATAACAAAGGGGGCAAGTGCTTATTATATATATTTATTTTTAGGAGCATTTGTTTCAAATTTGGGAAGAATTTTTACGTGACGGAGATCGTATAAAGTTTTTAAAAAACGTCGGCAGTCGGTTTCAGCCAATCATACGATTAGCTTCATACG